AGCATGAAATTGGTGTAATGGGATGAGCCGTTATTCCAGGGCTCATTAGAGCCACACGTGAAGGAGAAAGTGTTTGTGTCTGTGTAATCTGTGCTGTTACACATGGACTAAGAATATTAATTCACTTCATTATCACAGTCCCAGAAGTCCCATTACTCCTGTTTGCTGTTCAGATTCAAAGAGCTTTGTTTGACTGGGATGCTGTTTTAGACGTTTTGCATTCACTATCTGAAGATGTCCAGGCAGGGAGGGTTGGATGAAGGTCTTCTCGGTTTTCACTGATCCAGCACTTTGCCCACCAGCCCCCACCACTCCACATCCTGCAGACGCCTTCCATTTACACCGTGCCAATCAACCAGGTAGTTTAAACTGTATACAGCAGACAGCCAATGTCAAAGACACGGGAGAAAGTCACACACATACACGGAGAGGCCCCTGAAGTGGACTGAAAGATTCATTTTGTTCGTTTAATTTCAGATTGTTTTTATTTTAAAAAGATAACGGGTGTGTGAGACAGTCCGTGACCGTTGGCACCCTCTGCTGGGCAAACTAATGAAATCCAAATCTCATATTTGGTCACTTATGTCAAGACTATTAAAAAATCTTAATATTTTGGTAGGAAAATAGGAAATACAGTTTAAACATACATGGGAATACTGTGTGTAAGGCAAAACTAACCGAATTTGTACAATTCAAACAAGCTAGAAAGTCGTTATACTGTTTGATCACATTTATTCTTCATCTTGTAATTTCTTGAAGTTCAGGAAAAGTCCTCAAGGCTTCTAGAAGGACGAAGCTCTTCTTTGGATGTTGGCTGGGTTTTGTTGTGTTCTCCGTCAAGATGATCCCACATGGCTTCAATGATACTGAGGTCTTGGCTGTGGGGAGGCCCGTTCATGACTAATAATGATTCACTGTGTGTTTTTCTATCCAGGTATGCCTTTACTGCACTGGCAGTGCGTTAGGGATCATTAACATGCTGAAAAATGAAGCTGTTCCCAATCAGACCGTTTGGATAGTATTGCATGGTGGATCAAAATCTGATGGTGCTTTTCTGTGTTTATAATTTCTTCAATTTTGAGAAGATCCTGATCAGTACTGCCTGAATTGCAGTCATGGCTTTCAAAGAATGACACAAGCTCCACTGTGTTTTATACATTTTGACCTCCTCCATATCTATTGCTGGCCTTTTCAATCAAACCATTATCCTATTTCCCTTCCTTAAAAATTGCTACATAACAGCAACCACTGGTTAGATTTCAGTGAACAGATGCAGTTTCTCTGAGGGGGTATAGCTCAGTGGTAGACCATTTGACTGCAGATCAAGAGGTCTCTGGTTCAATTCCAGATGCCCCCTATGGAAGCTCA